TCACTGCCATATAGAAGGACTGATATTACATAGCAGTTCAGTACTCTTTTCTTTGTTTCTTTCCCAACATATGAAGTGAATTTGTTTTGTTTTTTTTTTCGCTTTTTTTACAAAATTTTCCTTACATCTTATACCCCAATGTTTGGGTTACCAGTACTAGACTAACACCCAAACACCCCAGTCTAACACACTAGTACCCTGATAATCACATAATTAAATTTGTATGATTGTAAATGATTAAATTACAATTACAAATCAATAGCAGAACTTCAAAGTAACTTATTGTGCCTACCTTTGTGAATGGTTATTTTTTAAAAGTTTTATTATATGCATATAAGTGAATGCATCATTATATTTTATATACACACATTCAACTGCACATGTGTATAAAAAGAGGAAGCAAGTTTTTTTATTAAATACATACCATGTATATGTATATATATATATATATATATATATATATATATATATATATATATATATATATATAAAAATGCTACTTTTAGCATGTGTGTATATATATATACATATATATATATATATATATATATATATATATACATATATATATATATATATATATATATATATATATATATATATATATATATATATATATATATATATATATATATATAATATACTCATATTGTCATCGTCATTCCTAATTATATTTTTTGTATGCAAATATCTATATACATGTTTGTGTTGTGTGATATACCCACATTTCAAGATAAGCTGATTAGCAAAGAATAAATAAAACATCTATAAAATACATATCACTTATTTTAACAAGAAATATATACTTTTGAATAGATTAGTTGTGTGCAAAAAGTTTTATAGTAAAAAGCTGGTTTGCAATTCTGCATTGAGTTTCTAAATTCAAAAGTGAGTACTGGGAACTTTTGCACACACCTAAGTTCTGGGCCTGGGCAAGAAACTCTTCTCCAATAAAATTTAATTATACACATATAATACCTTATTATATTTTTATACACACACACACACACACAACTTCACCTCTGCACAAGGAGTAATTATATATTTATATATATATATATATATATATATATATATATATATATATATATATATATATATATATATATATGTACATGTATATATATTTAGGCAGCATGTTTTCATTGAGATATGTTTCATTGAATAATTTAGACAAGTTTTGTCTGCTTATTTTCAATTGGATCCTTTCATATTCATGGATCATCTTTTCTGTTCATTATAAAAGGAAGAGAGAAAATTGCTGTGTTGATACATATTATTTTATTCAGGGTACTTTTGACATATCACAATGTTATCATCACAGTGTTGTTTATTTCAAGACAAATATTGTAGTGTTCATCATTTTTGAAGACAAAATTGCTGTGTTCATCTGAAAGTTAAAATGTTACTCGTGAAGTGAAGATAAAGTATGTCACAAAGAACTTTTGGAACTGCTTGGTAACCTTGACATATTTGGGAAGGATATCAGAATAATCCAGAACCTATAATGACAGAAAAATGACCTGCATACAATTAAAAAAATGAATCCAACAAATATGCAAAAATAGAGACGGGTGCAAGACAAGGATGTATTTTCTCACCAGACTTATTCAACTTATACAATGAGGCAATTCTTAGAGAATTAGAAATCCTAACTGGATTCATAATTGCCAGCCAGAATCTGAACAACATAAGATATACTAATAAGAGTGTTGATATGAAACATAGAAAGGAAACTACAAGAACTCCTACAGAATGTAGTGAAGGACAGAGAGAAGAAAAGACGGAACGTCATTTGCAAGAAGAAGGAATGCATGGTTGCTAGCAAAATGAACAACCCAACATGCAAATTACAAATTGGACATACTGAAATCAAACAAGTTCAATAATTTAAATATTTAAGAATTATTTTGACAGAGTACAGAAAGGGTGACACTGAAATCTGAAGTCATCTTGGGATATTGAAAGATCCATTCCAGAAATTAAGCAAAGTATTAAGAAACAGAAACAATTTGTTAGAAACAAAGAAAAGGGTATAGAAATGTTATGTGATATCAGTCCTCTTATATGGCAGTGAATGATGGACAATCTTCTCACAGTTGAAGAAGAGACTTGAAGCAACAGAAATATGGATCTACAGAAGCATGATGAGTATACAATTAACTGAACTTAAGAAACAACAATGTTTTAGAGACAATGGAACAAAAAGGACACATACTTGATATTGAAAAGAGATGGTTCAAATTTCTAGGGCCAAACAATGAAGAAAGAAAACTTGGAAAATTTGATATTCACAGGACAAATTAAAGGCAAGAGAAAGAGAAAAAAGTGATGCATTAACTACCTGATGAGCATGAGTTAATGGACAGTGGAGTAGGGTATTAAAATCTACAAAGGACAGGAAATTGTGGAGAGCCATGATTGTCAACATCCTGAGGGAACATAGCAAATAGACCATGGTGCCAGGTCAAGATTGATAACATTGCAGATTCTTCTTTGT